TTTCCCGAAGAAAGTACGAAATACGAGGCGTGATCACCATCGTTCTCTTGTTGGTTATTAAATTCGAGGTAAAATTCGAGGGGGATAAACTATGAAATTTCGATGTAGACGAAAGATTAACGAACCTAGCGGAGTATCCTTAGTTAGTAATTTAAGAATTTTTAACGAGAGCGAGAGGATATTGAAAATTGGATGATTTATTTGATAATTTTTCAGCAAATTGGACAACTGGCGTGCACACTATGCGACCATTACATCATGGGAAACTCGATCTACGTGATCATACTCGGCCTCATTGGGACCGTTAGTCGATCGTAATATTCCTTAATTGTTTCTGCATAATAGAACACCAGAGTTCGCGAATCCGTTCCATCTGTCAAAACGAAGATGAGGATTCGAGAATTTGTAACATTATAAAATTCGATTCATCGAGAGAATTCGATCTCTCCTCAACCTTTGTTATAATGCAAATATGGAGAAAGAAAATTTCCATTTGATTTAAATTTGTTTAATTCGATAGATGATTACAGCGTTTGATATCGTCAGAATAATTAATTGCAAGTTACCGATCAGATCACCCTCGCAAACGAGAAACAACGAGGCCGGTACGTTAAATTCCGTTTCAGATTAGAGAGAGAGAAAGAGAGAGAGAAAACCAAAAAAAAAAAAAAAAAAAAACAAATTAATTCTTCTCCCCTTTAGTGGTCCCTTTGGACGTGGAGAGGGATCTAAAATTAATGACTTCGATTCTGGGAATAGAGCACTACACTTTAATCATGCTTGGTGCAATTACAGTGAGCGATTCGAAGACGATTATCTTCCAGTTAAACATATTTTCGAATGTAATTATATATTTTTCAGGAATATCCAATGTTGCATACGCCCTGGCTTTTGATGCAATTATGCGTGATTATCGTGGAACTCATAGTATTCTGCGTGAAAATGTTTTTGGATGGACTTCATGTAAAACGCGATGAAATTTTACTGGCTGTTCTGACCGTGCATAATTGGCTTCAAGTATTTTGTTTGTTTCACAGACAAGCTCGACAAACTCGTTGAACGTACAACGAAAGAAAAGAATGGAAATTAATTCTAGGAAAAAAATATTCAATTTAGTTGAAATTATTGTAAAATTTTCTAACACGTATAATAAAAAAAATCATACGACGTACTTGAAATTGCAGTTTAATTGGAATATTATTTAGCAATTTCGTTTGTTTATTAATACATATATATATATATATATGTATATAACTTGAAAAACACGTGGATAGAATCTATCGATATAACCAAAAACTCGATTATGTATAAATAATTTAATGAAATTTAATTAAAATGCCATTAAAATTACAAAAAAATGTTAGCTATACTACTTGTACAGAGGGGAAAAATGAAAGCGATCAAGATAACAAAAATTTTCTTAAGATACAGGCGAATACAAAAAATTTAAACGAAGATATAGTTGAGTATTATATTTCGTGTTAATGTTAATATTGCATTATGAAATATTATCGTATTAAATTTAGGTAGAAGTACTGTATCTGGCATTGATATGTTTCGTAATACATTGTTTAAGTTGCATTACTTTGGAAACCGGAGGTCGTTCTTCTTATGGAAGTCCTGTGACCAAATCGGCGGCATTTAATGCTATTTTTCGGCGAACTTACAGTAAAAATATTTTAAATAATATAATATATATATATACTGTTCGACAATAGAAAGAATAATCGCGAATCTCTTTCCTCTTCTTAATTTACTATTCTTAAATTACTATAATTGTTAATTCATTCAAAAATAGGAAATTTAAAATTTTTAAATTCGAATGTTCAGAATTTAAATTTTCTTAAACTTTTTTTTTTTTTTTGACAGATCTGAAGATTATAATTCTCATAACGAACGTGATCACAGGACTGATAACTACGTTAATGATGATACTCGCTGATAAATACAACATTCCTTATCTATATTTACCATGGTTGGTAAATACTATGAAAGGGATGACTCTGTGCGAAGGACCAGCGCTTTTTAATATAGCTAATACACTCCTCTCTAATATTACTCTTCCTATTACAATCTTCGTACTCACAACATTTTTCCTATACGGTATAAAAATCCTATATGTTCACATATTATCATATAACGTTATGCGAATTACGATTACAAATTATTGCAAATTTTTTTTTTAATTTTCGATATAACGATATATTTTTTATAATTTTCGGATTTCAGTTGAAGAATTTTGCATTTGGAGTAACATATTTTTTAAGTTCCAGCATTGCTGGAAAAACTATCATGACGAGAAACATTTTATCATGGAAAAAACTAAGAGATTATACGGTATGCATAATAAAAAATTGCTTTCTCAAGATAACATTGAAAACGAAATAGATATTGGGTACAAAAAATTAAAATTTAAACAAAAACCTATCGAATTCTGCAATATCAATGATCGAATTTCCACCGATGTACGTTTAAGACCCGTGAAAAGTAGTACGTTCAACAACGGTAATTTTATTCGAAATCAATTGTTGGATATAACTGGATAATTTCGGAAGAAAGAATTACAGCTATATAACTACTAAATCAATTAACTTATATATACATTAGATTAAATTTTATTATATTTATTTTTCTCGTTTCTCATGATCTCGATACTTTACAAATTTTTATTACGTATTACGCATATTATGTATGAACAATAAAATCAAATTTTATATTTAATGATATGATGAATTCCATATCTTATAATAATTATATAGTAAGAAATCACATTGATTTGAATAAAAAATAAAACTGTACGAACAACGGACAGTAATAGCGTCTTAATTTTGTAATGTGGAATATTCCTCGATATTTTCTATATTTTTATATCGATTATTTTCTATCTACATCAAAAAAAGATCACATAATTGATATATTTTGTGTACTTACCGATTCGTATCCAATAATCTCAGCAATTTTCTTCAAAAATTTGCAGCACGATACAACACATCACTTCATACATGACGCATCACCAAAACTGCGCGAAATATTGGAAGATGCGCATTAATTTGAAAAATTTTCATTGCGCAGATTGCGAATATCGATGTACTTCAGTCGATTACGATTCTTTGTATACTATACACATAACTTTTTTTTTATTTCTTTTAATCATAAATTATGCATTCTTGATTCAAAATTCAAAATTAAATATCTTTATTAATAATCAACATAAAAGAAAATATAAATTTTAATTTTAAAGTTTAAAATTTAGTCATATTTTGATCGATATATCGAATTAGTTTTATCTCGATAATACGTTGTTTAGAAATAAATAAATTAATATATAATATTTTTATTTAAAAAAGATAAAGAATTGTAAATATTATATCTAAAAATATAATTAAAATTTATATCTGTCTTAAAGGTTCGTTAAAAATCAAAGTATTATGTTAACAAAATCAACGATTCCCGCCTAAAGTGAGAAATGGCGGTAAAATAAGCGCACACATGCGTAGTAGAAAGTTCCGTTCACATTAATGCAGGTTAAGTCGTTGTGCTCATGTTGTGCTTGACGCTCGTACAAGTAAGCGTGCCGGTAATAAACCGTTGTTTGGTATAACGGTCGTTCCGTTAAATCTCCTTGCGATCCTGTACATAAATTTATTTGTAAACTATTAAAGTAAAGCTTGTGATTTTCAAAACGTCGCGTACAATCTACGAAGAACAGTGAAAGTGTGTTCAACGTTAAAAAATCAGACGTCCAGTGATTCGAACGACTATCGAGGTATGTGTATTTTCTTTGTGTTCTACATGTATAATTGATATTTCTAATTTTTTCTTTATATATACGAACGTATACATATGAATAGTGATGTTAAGTAATTAAATATTTGCACGTTCGTAAATTAAGATATTGTTGAATTGTTTTATCGAATAAAATAGTACGTAACACGTAGTTTATTTTTATACGTACATTCTTAGTACAATGAGCTCATGCTTATACTACTTTTGTTGTTTACGACATTAAATAATAATCTGTTGAATTTATGAACAGACGTACATATGTGTAGGTTGTAATATATAGCATGTCTCCCGCGTTACATATACACTTGTAACGTCTGGTCACGTGTTCCATATTTAAATGATACACATACACGAAAATTGATGTATATGTGCGTCTATTCATCAAGATCCATATCTTTGCAAACACCATTAGCGAAACATAACCTTTCACATAACAAAACAAAAGTTTTTATTTTTTTTTCAGTTTTGAAATATCATGTCATATTAATGATAAAACTGAATGAGAAGACAAAAGAATTTTTTTATTTATACATAGCTTATTCTTTTTATTGCGTTTATGATACATTACAATTTCAATATAACAAATAACAAGGGTCAGGTAAAAAATATGACAATCAAGAAAATATTATCAGAAAATGCATTTCATTTTAAATAAACACTCGGAGAAAAGTTTTGCAAGCGTATTCGTTTCTTTTTTTTTTTTTTTTTTTTTTTTTTTTTTT